TTTCGAATACAGTTTAGAATATACACAACTATAAATTAAGGCCGCATTTAGGTTCGCTTTAAAATGTCAAGGAAATTAACATAATAATAGAGCCAACAATATATCATAATGTTGGCCCAACAATTCTATGGTCCAAGAAATGAGTTTAGTATTTCATTAAACATTGACATGGTTATTCACCTCTATAGATCATCGACCATTAGCCTTGATTAAAAAATTATGTAATTTAGGGTTTCCAAATATTAAATGCTCTGTTTTTTTTGAGCGGATAAAAGACCCATTGTGGGATGCTTTGACTTCATTATGTTTTGAGGAATTGTCGATAATCCCAATTTTAAGCAGAAAATAGGGTAAATATGGCATATAGTGTGGTATATATGGCATATAGTGTGGTATATATAACACAGTGTGGTATGTATAACACAAAGTGTGGTATATATAACACAAAGTGTGGTATATATGGCATGAAGTGTGGTATATATGACACCTAAATGTATTTATTGGTTTTTCATGTTCACAACTTGTCTCATTTGGGAACATCAACCTATGTTTATCTCTCCTGACACTAAATGCTTCAAACATACTTATTTTGACGAATTGTGTGCACTCCTCAAATAGGTTGTATTTTCATGGCATTGATTTGACAGCTGGATCCCAAGTCTCAAATCATGAGGGACATTGCTGTCAATTTACCAAAAATGATGTTGGAGTAATCCTGTGCATACGCTTCCAAGCGGCTGCCTGCAGTGAAATGAAACTGAAGCCATCAAATTGAGGCTTTATATTTATAATCACCATTATTCAGTGTGGTTAGGAGCAGCAATTTGTCTCCAGGGTGCATTAATAAGTATGTTTTATTCTTCAGTTCACTTCAAGATCTGACTTCCCACGTTTTATATCCCTTAGGTACACTTGAATATTCTGTACGTGTTCAGAAATATTTTGTTGCTTTTTTTGCATGATTTCCCCAAATTTCTGAAAAAAATTTTGTTGTGATTTGTGGTCAATGATGTCATTGAAAACAAAAACATTCAGATGTTAATAATAATTTTTAAATGCATGAAAAAAGTTTAAATTTCAGAATATGGCAAATAAA